GAGTCTTAGGGCTTAGGGCGTTGAGGGTGTAAGGTTGGGTCGGGTTTAAGGGGCTTAGGGTTGAGGGCCTTGGGGATGTAGGGTTTAGGGTTGGGCCGCAACCCCCAAATCCACAAGGTGCAGCCAAAGCTCCCGTATTTCGATGCATGCTGTGCGTGTCGCTGATCTCAGATGTATGACATCCAGGAGCTCAGGGGAGGAGGCTCAGGCTTTGAGGCTCTGGGTTTACACTCTCGCAACCCGGCTAGCCAGAGGGGGTCTGTGTGGGTCGGGGCGAAAACTCAACTATGCACTTAGTGCATCACTACAAGGCGTCTCGGATTCGGGCAAGAGAAACAAGCGAACACGAGTAATTAGGGTCCAGTAGTACCCCAAGTCCGAGCTGCCAGCTTGACATCCTGACACATGTCCCACTCGCAAAGTCAGACACGAAGAAATGCTACCATGGGCATGGGGACGTCGTTCGAAGTCAGTCGAAGTCAGTACATCGACTGGGGATGTCACTACGCAGTACCGTGAAAGACGCAGAGCCCTGTTTAGCATCAGACGTTTTCAGAACACGAAGACGAGGTTATGGTAGGTTGTGCATGCAGTTTCTCGACAAGGAGCCGCACGGCTTGTTTGTATGCTGCATTGATGGCCGCGAGGGACTTGCCCTCTCACATCCTCCTCCACGACCTCCCTCTTCACGACGCCAGCATGGCGTATGAAAACACGATCAAGGGCGGAAGGTTCCGGGCCCAAGAAGTTGTCACCCGATGGCGATTGCGGTGATGTGGCTGATGGAACGACAGGAAATGAGTACGGACGTCGACGGGTAAGCATCAGTTGCTTCTCCGTCTTAGTCAAAGGGAAGAGTCAACTCTCGAACTCCGATGCTCCAGATTTAGCATTCCAGGGATCAGAGTCTAAGAAAGACGTCGAGAAGCCTCCCCGTTCCTAAAGAGGGTGGCTGTTGTGGGGTTGGACCCGGGCACAGCTGGGGGAGGTGAGTGGAGCTCTGTGGCACCAGTAGGAACAAGGAGCCGTAAACGCCATGAGAGGCCCGAAAAGATGCCAGCAGGATCTCACTGACCATAAAAGGGATGAAAGCTTTGCATCCACGTGGTTAAACTAGAGTTGGTACTAACCTTCCCTAAAAAGGAGACCCTTAGGAGACCCTTTACCATGAAAAGAAGAAGCCCCTAAAGCAACCCTGTTACCTCGACCCTAAGCCCTAAACCCTAAACCCTAAACCTCTAAACTAAACCCTCAGCCCTAAGCCCTAAACCCGAAACCAAAAAAACCCTCAACACTAAGCCCTAAACCCTAAACCCTGAAGCCCAAGCCCCGGATATCACCCATCGACCCGCCCGAGGCGCGTGAAGGATGGAAATGCCACGCCGGACCTTCAGCCCCGGGCTGCTTGCCTTCAAAGGGCAAAAGGAGGGACCCTTCATGGGGATCCCTACTTAGAGAGTCATGGGTAGTTGCGTTATTTGTCGCCTAATATGGGTTATCAGAAAAGTTACCCGACTTATAACCCTAATTGTAGCTACCCATGAATAACCGCGAAGTACCCCATAACGGGCTATAATGGGTATATAAGAGCTATGTTAAGGTTATATACCTAGGGGTACTTATTTGGGGTCCCTCCTTTTGTCCCTAAATGCCTGGTCACGCAAGAGAAGGGGCCTTCAGAATAATGCCCATAGGGTTCTTTCAGGGGCTCCCGCAAGAGCATCTAAAAGGGTTTCTGGAAATAATCGACCAAAGTTTCGGGTGGGACATGATTCTATCACTCAAGTACAAAGAGGAGCCCCAAATCCGAGGGATGGCGTTGGTAATCCTTCAGCCCCCTGTCTATACATAAATATGCCTGTATGTATATGTATATATATATATATAAACATATACATATCAGGTATATATACATATAATGTATGTGTATATATATATATATACACATACCATATAACATAAATCATATAAAACCATATCATATAAATCATATTTATCATACGTACCATAAATATATATATATATATATATATAATTATGCATATGTGTGTGTGTGTGGGTGGGGGGGGGGGGCGGGGGCTTGTCCAGAATGGCTTATCTGCGCTGCATGGCACTGACAAACTGAGGTTGCATTCAGGCTTCACAGGTTCTAGGTGACTGCAGAGCCTAGGGTTGAACATGGTAGGATGCGAAAAAGAAGTCCTGCATTCTTCGCGGGTGTATGTTTCTGCTTCTGCGCTTTTTGCATGATGACAACCAGCTAAACCCGAAACCCGAATCCTGGCCACTTCTTGATAGTGATGACGACGAAACGGAAGGATGACGAGGATGATGATGCGGATGGGAAGGCCACCATTCGGAGCCTGAGAATGATAACACCTCATAGCTGGGCAGTGGGAAACTGCTGCTGTTCTGGTTCGACTATGTTGCGGCTAATTATATACCACGGCATCTGCGTGAACTATGCAGGCATTCCGACATTCTGTACTTAAGTAAAGTGCTTTGTTGGGGTGCCGGCTGCATGCCATCTCTGCATCATACCGCATCACCCGCTATGCCGTAGTCTGTCTGTGTCGCACTACATTTGCTATGTTCCACCTTCTTGCATTCTAAAGCCTTAAGCTAAACCGCAAACTCTACAAAACGAAACAAACTATACTTTCCACATGTGTGTTTTTTTGCAAAAAATCTTTTGCTTTTTTGCAAAAACTCATTTCCACAAGGTCAGTGCAAATTCACTCCGGGGAACCTTGCTCTTCGCGGCCGCTGCGGGCGCCCTTCGCAACAAGTGGCTTAAGGCGGTGGGATCTACGCTTGGGCGCATTGAAATTCGAGGGCCTTACGTAAGGGTTTCGGGAGTTTAGGGTCAGACATGCCCAGAATGTCGAGTTTTCTTGAGAAGTTTATGAGGAACGGGTGCATTGCTCGGCAGTTCACAGACCCATACCACGACTACTGGGCCAAAACACCCAGAAGAACGCAAACCCCAATCCTGAACACTAAATCCTGAAGTCTAAACTAGCTCAATTAAGTTCATCACTCCTTTTACACCTGGGCTATGCATATGCCAGGAACCTATCACTATAACTCCTAAACACCTAAGCCACCAGCCCCTCAACTCGCCGACACTTCGAAGATGAAGTCTTCGGCTAAGCGTCGGAGCTGGGAGTTGCTCGGTGGCGTTCCTTGAACGAGAGGTGACATACGTTCAAGAGGATTGCAGAGTGAATTTAGGTTTTGGGGTTTCGGCGCTTCTCGATTTGTTTGGGGTTTAAATTAGGGGTTAAGGGCTAAGGGTTTGGGGTTTGGGGCAACAACAGTAACAGTGGTTGCATCATTACTGCTAGTAGTCGTCGTCGTGGCACTGAGATGGAGCCTGAACCCGAACGGCCATAACCGGCATCACTCCCCGAACTCTCGGCCCTGAAGCCCAAGCCCCAAAAACCCCAACAGAAACGGCCCCAAACCCTAAAGTTTAAAGCCCCCCACCCTAGATCCCCACCAGCAAAGGCCCCAAACCCTACATAAAGCCCAAACCAGATCCCCACCCGAAAAAAAGGGGGGGGGGGTGGGGGGCCCTGGGCTTCGGAAATTCCAGCGGTGCAGCCAAAGGAGCTCCGCTGCTGCAAGGAGCAGCAGGGGCAGCAGCTGGAGAGGCAGCCTCCTAAAGGGCGCAAGGGTTGATGATAGAAATCCCTAGGGCTCCTTTAAAGGGATCTTTTAGGGTACCTTTAAGGGCTTCCTTTAAGGGATCTATAGGGTTTTGGGTTTAGGGTTGATGATACAAATCCTGCAACGGGAATAATGGCATATTCCGTATTATGGGTCATGCAGGACTTATATCATCAACCGAAGGGTCCGCTGCAACCCCTCCCCCTAAACTCGATACTTAAACCCTGAACCCCAAGCCCTCAACCCCAAAACCCCAAGCCCTGAACTTCCCTGAATCCCAAACCCTAAACTCCAGGATTAAGTTTCAGGGTTTTAGCTCCTAAGGTGCTAGGGGTTTGGGACTTGGGGTTTGCAAGCTTTCAAGTGCTCCCGAACTCACCTTCACCACGAAACCGAAACGCAGCGCTCTTGATTCCGAACCTTAGCCCTAAACTTAGCCCAAAACGCTTCCGCCCCCAAACTGGAAAAACCCCCGCTCAATCCCTAAATCCGAAACCCGAACCAAGGATTCAAGTCCAGCCTGAAACCCAAGGACCCTAGACCCTGAACCCCAACCCTGAAATCCAAAGCAGCCCAGAGGCATTGTTGGCGAGAGGGGGGTGGACAGGCAGCCGGATCGAACCAAACAGCTCCGGTTGCTACTACCGGGTCGTTGTTAAGGAACTTACTGCAAGCTACCAGAACTCACGTGTTTTGGCGTTTTAACAGAATTGACAGGTTGATAGGGTTTTCAAGGGGTTCAGGAGCTCACGCTAAGTTACCATATGGGGATACAACTCAGGCAATGGGCTTGCTTTGGTCTGACAACTTCAGCAAAATTCCTTTCGGCTACCACAAAACCGGTCTGATACCCATGGTCGTGGACTGAGGTGCTTGGTCAGTTGCTACGATGACCCTCATATAGGCACCCTGGTTGTTCGATCTCAGCAGGCTTGAAACCTTGGGTTGTTGGCGACACATTTTTTCTGCTAAAGTGTCTAACTTTAGCAGCGAAAGACCTTCCAAGATCAGGTGGGTTTGAGGTTTAGGTTTAGGGTGTTGGGCACCACTTGACAACAGAACCAGCCGTGTGACCATATGTTTGAAAGGTTCAACACAGCATCAACCCGCACAAGACGGGTTCGGGGTTCGGGCTTACGGTACATCTTAGGAGCTCGAACTTCACACCCTACGGCGAGCGTCACGCCGGCCTGCCCAAAGCCAGGAACTGAAACAATCAAGAACAAGAGAGCACCAGAATCGCCATAATGTTTAACCGAAGACGGTTGTTTCAGGTCTGAGTCTCTCTCAACCTCAACCCCAAACAAACCCTAACCGCGGCTCCGCACTTGACCGGCGCCGGCGGCTTTGATGGCACCGGGGCGGGCGGGGCCTCGTATGGTCTTCATAGGACACCAGCAAACTTGAAACTCACCTAAGACCACAAACTCCTAAACCCTAAGCGACCCTGACTTGCGCTACTGAAAGCCTTGTGCTTCCCCCGGAGCCGGCGCGTGGGCGGGGCGGTGGGGAGGCCGGCGGCCTTCCCGGGCCCAGGATCTTTTGTTTTAAGAGCTTCTAGGTGTTAGGGCTTTAGGGTTCAGGGTTGAGGGTTTATTTAGGGCTTCAGGGTTTAGTGTTTAGGGTTTAGGGCTTTAGGGTTTAGGGTTGAGGGTTTAAGGGCTAGGGCCTTAGGGTTTAGAGAGGTAGTGCTTTAGGGTTCTACCGGGGTTCTACGTCGGTCATGTAACATTCGACAGGGCCTGAGGTATTGCGACCAGTTTCGCCCACAGGGCACAGCATTAGCAGCTTGAGGATTCACGTGACAATTTGGCATCCTAGGGTTGCGGTCTAGGGTTGAAGGATTTAGGTTTTTAGTTTCGGGGTTCAGGAGTCTCGAGCTTGAGGTTCAGGGTTGAGGTGCGCAACCACAGAGTGCAGGCCTCAAAGAGCGCGACGTCCTCACCGCAGGGGCCAAGGTCCGAGAGAAACCGCACCTCGGCAGGCTTAGCCTTTGAGGGCGTACTTGGAGGTTCATGGCTCGTTTTAAGTGGGGTTATAGGTCCCCTAATGGGTTATAAGTATAGTTGCCCTACCTATAACCCTACTTACAACTACCCAGTAGTTTTGGCTCAGGATCCTTCGAGGTCTGGGCGATCTTGGTTTCTAAGGCATCACGACTCCGGGCCCAACATCATGAAGCCCAAGGCTCGGGGTGCTAGGCAGGAGAACATGGAGACTTTCCGATTGGGCAAATTCGGACTTACAGTCGCTTCGTCGAGTTTAACCAGAAAAGGGCTTCATGTGTGTGCGTGTGTGTGTGTGTGTGTGTGCGTGTGTGTGTGTGTGTGTGCGCATGTTCTTATATGTGTATACACCAGCGCATGCTTCTCTGACTATCTATCTGCCTGACTATTGACTTTGTATGTATTCATTTCTCTGTCATCTGTTTATATAGATGTACGTAAAATTGGTATTCCTTCTTTTGTAAGTATTGACATTTGTTCGTCTAGGTCTCCGTATTTGCACTTACCCATATAGTTACACACATTTGTTTGATCCTGCTTATAACTTAGGGCTATTGAATTTATAGCGGCATCTATAGTTGGCATGGCGGGCCAACTTCAATTCGCAGGATGCTGCACAAGAGGAATCAAACTAACCCACTGAATGAAATCCATATTCCGAAACAGACTGACTGGCACAGCCGCAAAGTCAATCTTGCACAAAGATATCCACTGCATCACAAGAAAGACAGGTGCGAGACTACCATAACACAAGGCACGTCTGCCAAAGGGATGTAGGCGCCGAGCCAGGCGGACTGCTAGGCGTTGCTGGGGCCCTGCTGAAAACGAACTTGAGCTCTGCTTGGGATTCTACTTTTTGGCTCATGGGTAGTTATAAGTGGAGTTCTAAGTCCCCGAGTAAGGGCTCTTCTTGGTTTATGGGTAGTGATAAGTGGGGTTATAAGTCCCCGAATAAGGGCTACTATCACTATAGTTTCCCCTCGGGCGGGAGGACGTGTACAGGACGTATGCCGTTCGAGTCTTCCCTGTACAAGCTTGGCAGAGGCAAGAACACTAAGTCACCCCGCATAATGCAGCCAGCTTCGCAAACCATCTTATACCCCCACTTATAACTAATTACTAACTAAACTCTGTTCAGTATGTAACGCTACTTCTGGTTTGAAGACCATGTGAACGCCAAACGCGCCTCTTTCGTTGCCCACACTTCAAGCACTGCACTCAAACTTACAAGGATGAGCCTGAAATACCATGTGGGCCGGGACGGGGACTCTTATATCGTACTCGAAACAGTAGGAGACCCCAAAATAGGGTACCCCTAATCTTCGGAAACTCCCTTTTGCATTTTGTAGCAGGCTCTGGCCCAAAACACTAAAAATGCCAAACCCTGTAAATTGATTTGCACACAAGACTTTCCTAAATAAAACCGACCCCAAACCTCTCGCTTGAAATCCCCGGTTGAACACCCCCTTTCAGGCTTTTGGGCCTTCCACCGGCAGCCAAGCACTCTTGAGCATGGCCTGGAGGCATCTATATGGGGGTGTGGCGGGGGGAAGCAGAGGCACGTATGGGGGACATAGAGGGCTTGAAGACCAATTCCTGCTCCTTGAGGTTCGGGGGTGAGGACTTATGGGTCACGGCTTATAAAGTTTACCAGGGAAAACTCCTGAGTAGAGTCTTAGGCTCTATGATTACCTTCTGCGATCTGGGCATGTAGAGCTAAGGCTCAAGTGAGGTCTGCCGCTTAAGCTTTCAGGGCTCTGGGTTTGGATTCAGCTCAGGTTATCCTCTCAGAGGATGTCGAACTCGGTGGTAGTCCTGGCCCACATTAAAACAGATTTCAATAGTTTTCAGGCCCCGTTCATCCACGACTACGCGATGCCTTGAAAACATTGTCTCACTTTAGAATCATATCATAGCAACCGGCAACTACAACCCCACTCACAATTATCCTCATCGTCCTCATCACCATGCTCCACATGACCCTCGTCATCACTGTCATGAGCGTCAATGGATAAACGTCACAATACCAATAGCAGCTAGAACAAATCATCGTCGCCGTAACCAGACTGAAAAGTTGCTGCTCTCCTGCCGTTGACGATGCATCTCCCTCAACCACCAAACCCGACACCCAAAGCCCTAGACTCTGAACCGGAAACCCTAAACCCAAAAACGGCCCGAAGCCTACCCCAAATCTGCAGCGTGGGGGTTCCTGAACTCCTGAACCATGCACAAGACATAAAAATTCTGAGCCCTGCACAAACTGTTCACACTTAAGACCCCCGTAGAAAACTGAAAGCCCCAGCCAAAGAAGCCACATTATTCCAGTGAGCCCAATGCCAAACCCATCATAAACAAAAAACAGGGATACTATCGGTTTCCGACGCTCGCGAGACCATCGGTTTAGTTTAGGGTTTAGGGTTGATACCATAATTAGGGTCCCTTTTTGGGGTACCCTAAATAATAGGTGCCGTATTGTAAGAATGACCCAAAAAGGGGCCCTAATCGACCCCATTGAGGACCTCAAGCCGCGGCCGGCCTTGAGCTTCTGCAGCGGCAGCTTCATGAGGCGACAGCACCTCAGGTTTTTTCCCTCCTACCTAGCAAGGACGAGGCCCGCATTGCAGGGAGTGCTATTTGGACACACGATGATTGCTCAGTCCTTTGAGAACTGCTTTTTCTGCTGACTGTCAAGTACACGTAAGCTGGATGCAAACACTTGTCGACTTCTTGAAAGGGCAGCTGACAAACATTGTCGGCGACGGCAGGTGAATTCAGTGCAGTGGTTGTATCATGTACTCGAAGATTCTTTGATTCGCGTAAACTTGATGCTGGCGCTCTGAACTGGCTGGAAACGGCAGCTGGTCTATGACGCTATTGAACTTGTGTTAATTAGCTGCTTCAATCTTGTATATCAGCACCTCAGGTTTAGGTTTTAGGCTTTAGGGTTCAGGGTTTAGGGTATAGGGTTTCGGCTTTAGGGTTTAGGGTTTAGGGTTTCGAACTTAGTCTTGCCTCGAATTCAGTCTGGGTTCTTGTTAAGGGACTTAATTCAAGTTACCACAATACGGAAACCTTATTATTCACTGTAGATCCCTATTATGGTAACTTAAATTAATTAAATCTCTTAACAAGAACCCAGTAGTTTTGGTGGCCCTTGGGGTTCAGGGCTTAGGGCTTTGTCTTGTGGGGGGGTTTAGGAGCTTAGGGGTTTTAGGTTCGGGGTATCTGAGGTTTTGGGTTTTGCGTTCGTTTGGGGTTGGGAGTTCGGGGTTTTAAAGTTTAGTGGTTTCAGGGTTTCGGGTTTAGCTCATAGCTGCCATGAGGATGAGGATTAAGGCCGTGCACAATGCCGCTGGTGATGATTTTAGAAAGGATGGTAGTTCATAAGTCCTTTTACTGTTGCTATGGCTGGTGCTGTCATCATCAAAGTGGTTGCCGCATTGATGCGTTCCTTGCAGCCGGCAATCCGGATGCCGCGATCAATGCGCTGCTGCTGCTGCTGCTCACTGCCCGCACCAGTCATCTGCGTAACACGCACAACTATCACACTTGCAAGTGTTTTCCTACACATGTAGCAACACAAGATATGAAGAAGAGCCTGCGTTCATGCACGTACGTACATACAGGCGGACAAGCAGACGAAACGACAACCGAACACGCGCATGTGCATGCGCACCTGCATACCCAGATGTGTACGCGGCTTCTTCATAGGGCACACCGTCACAATTCCTAATGCTGTAACCAACTAAGACGGAGGAGAATTCCGTCATGAAGATAGTGACACCAAAGGCGAGGACAATCACGCTCCACCTCCTTTTCATGCTCACCACCGTCGGAGCTGCGTCGTGCGGCATCACCCCTTTTTGATCCCGGAGCTTGTACTCTGCTGAGAAGAGCACGTCCGCGACAAAAGCAGAGCTTCTCCCATCCGAAACCCTTAACCCTAAAATCTTCCACCCAGGACCCCCTGAACGCTGAAACCGTGAATCCTGAAACCCTTTTTTGGGAGAGACTGTTGCACCTGCTATCGGAAACCCCTTTTTGCTACTGGACTCAAGTTTCGGAAACCCCTAAACCCCAAACTCTGAAACCCGAAAAGTACCCTTACAGAGCCCTTAGAGGAACTCTAAAAAGGAGCCCTTAAAGGAACCCTTAAAGGAGCCCTGAAGCCTTGAAAAGACTTCCGCTGGGGCCCCCGCTGCTCGCAGGACGCAGCAGCGATTTCACCTTCCTCAACGAGGCCCTGCACACAAGCAGTTTAGGGTTTAGGGTTTTGGGGGCTTGGATGCTTGGGGTTGATCATTCAGGGATTACTGTAGCGGCCCTTGATGATTAGAATAGGGTTTTGGTATATATTATACTATCACTACAATAAGGAACCCCCCAAACAAAATAGGTAGCTATTAAGGCCCCTATATTATGAGTTTGGGGTTTATGGGTTTACGTAGGGTGTAAGGTTTAGGGAAGTTCCGGCTTTGGTGATAAGAGCCAAGTTCAGGGTTTAGGGCTTTTGGGGCTCAGGGTTCAAGCGCATAGCAATTGAATAAGACGGACCCTACACCTGAAGCTTACCGCAGAACGACTCCTATGCTGTGTCTCATAGAGAAATGAAGCTTCTCGCCGGACCCTGGCAAACGGAGTTGTTCGTTTCGCTTTTGCAGGAGGTCTGACGTAATTCCGACAAAACCCTAAACCCCAAAAGGGCCCCTTTCCTCATACCCGCAACACCCTCTCCACAGGAGACCCCCTAAACCCTAAAGCCTAAACCCTAAACCCTAGACCCTAAACCCCAAACCCTAAACCCTAAACCCTAAACCCCAAACCCCAAACCCCAAACCCTTTCTTCCACAGGCTTGATTAGTGCTCCAAACCCTAAACCCTAAACCCTAAAACCCTAAAAAACCCTAAAGCCTAAAACCCTAAACCCCCAAAAGCAAGGCCTCGAAGGTCTGAAGGAGATCCCCCTCGACGTCGATGCCCTGCAGTTTGGCCGCAGTTTTCTGGTAATTTCTAGGGGCCCCTAATTGGGTACCTTCTTTTGGGGGTCCTTATAATATGGGTACTACTATCAAGATTATGGTTTAGGGTTTAGGGTTTTCAAAATTATGGTTTAGGGTTTAGGGTTTAGGATACTAGTATAGTATGGGTAGTTGTCAAAATTATGGGGTCCCTTTTTGGGTACCCCTAAATATTAGGTGCCGCATTATAACAATTATGGTCCCTTTTTACCCTGAGTACTAGGTGCCGTAGTATAATAAGGACCCAAAAAACGGACCCTAATATTGATAACCACCCATCTAAGGCTGAGGCGCGAAAACTCTCTTGTCTGGGGAAAGCCTTTGACAAGAAGCATGTGCCAAGGAACAGGTATCAGCTTGTCAATCATGGGTCGAATATCGATTAACTTACCTTTGGTTAGTAGGGAATGGAGGAATGGGGTACAATTATAGCTACTATTACTACCATTCTTCCATTCCCTACTAACCAAAGGTAAGTTAAGGGGCCTGGGCCTGGATGCGAAAGGAACAGCTATGGTACTGTAAGGACCAGATTCGATGAAAGCGCGCTTCGCCACCCCATTTCCTGGCTTTCCCTGCTGAAAACCTGCAAAGGTTTTTGACCTCTGGACCATGGCTAAAGTGCCAAGATCCTCCCTGTCTAGTTTTGGCCTAAGTGGCCTAACTTGGAACTGTACTGCAGCACGCATGCTGGCAAGCTGGTAATCCTTCTGGACTGAATGGCTTGGTTTTGGATGCCAAACTCCGTTCATGAAGCGCTACACCACAGGAACGGTGAACCCTGAGCCCCCACACTGCACTTCCGGAACCCTCAACTATAAACTACTGAAGCCTTGAGACACAGAAGGGTTACAATTTTGGGCTGCAGGATAGAGCCATTAGGATTCCTCCTAAACTTTACAGCTTAGGGGAACCTCTACTAGAACCCTTAACGGAACCCTCAGTGAAACCCTGAAACACACCCCAAACACGAAACCCTAAACCGGTGGCCTCCACCTCTTCCAGCACCTGCCAAAGAAAAGCAAAATCTTGAAGGTTCGCTTCGGGGGGAAGAGGGGCGAACTGTTTCGGCACTCACACTCGGGGGCTTAGGGTCTTGTGGGATTTAGTAAGAGCTTAACTTCGGGTTTAAGGTTTCGGTTGGGCTTCGGATGTTCGGGCTTAGGGTTCGGGTTCTGGGGCTTGGGGTTTAGGGCCTACGGTTCAGGGCCCATGGACCTGACTGGGGGTATGTCCATAGGTCGGTGGGTGAAAGAGCACAGCCAGCGGCAAGAAATAGGCAGCTAGCCCAACAACATAAAACCTGCCAAAAAGCAAACCCCATGTCGGCTACCAGGGTGTGGAAGAAGAATAGCCTAATTCAAGAACCTCGCGCACAACCACGACTATGCCCATTTACACTACTAGGTAGGGCGGTTTAGCACAAGGGGGCAGCAAGGACTGTCGCTGCGGGGTTCAGCTTGAGGTCTCTTGCGGGGTTTTGGGGCCTTGGGGTTTGGGGTATGAGCTTGGAGTGGGCTCTTAAGCCCTTATAAGGGTTTAAGAAGCTCTTGCTGCTTGGAGGCTTGCAATTTGGGTGTAGGATTCTTGAAATGGGGTTTAGATGATGTGGTTAAGGGCTTAGGGCTTGAGATTTGGATTTGGGCTTTTGGTGTTTTGGGGCTTAGAGCTTTTTGGGGGTGTTGGCGTTGGGAGCTTCGGGCTGAAGCTTTCGGAGTCTGGGGTGTAAGGATGGGGTTGGAAGGTGCCCTGTGGAGGTCCGGGGGGTTGAAGTTTAGGGTTGTTTGCCGAGGGCATCTTGTTGTTTATTTCGTCCAAACTGCGGATCGATGTTGCCTGCATAGAGGCCATGTGGATGAGCTGCGTGTGGTGGGCTGCTAGCCCGAAACTCCACTGACATAGAAAACCCCGAGGGCCCGGAACTCTACAGCCTCAAGGGGTCAGGTCTGTAGGCTTAAAGCGTAAAGCCGTAACCCCAAGCCCCACCACAGGCGCATGATACTCTTGCCCTGGCTTCCTGACTGTACTTCTAAGCCCAGGGCTCTCATATATAGTGCAGGTGGATCCCTTGTGCCCTCGTAGAGCCTCTACAAACCAGAGGACCCCAAGTATTCCACCTTGTCCTCCAGCTCTTCTTTAGAGATCGGCACTGGCACGGCCTGCCACGAGCGCGCAACCAGACCAGACGACCCGGAACACTTTGGTGGGGATTGGGTCTAGCGGGGTGTTAGGGGGCAGGGGTTTACGGGGTTCCATATCGGGGCCTGAAACCCAGAACATTCAGCTTAGTTACCTGCAAACCGGGTCGAGATGCTTTGAGTATTCAGGGTTGCGGACTTGGGATTCAGGCAGCCACAAAGAAAAGGCGATGGCTTATCATAGTCAGAACATCAAACAGCGTTCGCATGAGAAGTCGAAGATGTAACATCCTCCACTGTGGGAAACATGAGTATTCGGCTCCAAGGAATCCAGCAGACAGAGAAGCCGGTTTAGGTTGGAGAGCTCAAGGTAAGGACTTCATGTCATGGCCACCCCTCCAGTAGGAGGGTCGGACGGCCCTAAGTGTGCCCTAAACCCCAAGAACATTCTACAGAGGCCTTGATAACTTGGGATCTTCGGGGTACATCAACTATACTATACTATAGTTATATTAAGGGCTAGAAGTGATACTGTGGCTATATATATATATATATATTATAGTCCGACCCCTACACTGTGCATCCTCCTTTTCGCCGGAAAATGAAATCTGTTTTACGTAAAAGTAGATTCGATGAATAAGTAGATAGATGGACGTGTGTCTGTCTCGCACATATGTGTATGCATGTATGTACAAGATGTATGTACGTATATAAGGCAAGTACACATAAACAAGCAAGCCTGCCTTGGCCTTGGCCTTGGCGCGGACCTTGGGCGTGGGAGGCGCGGCCTGGATTCAGAAAGGGAAAAGGTTGGACTCGTAGGAAATCCAAGCTTTGGGGCCTTTTTGATTGAAAAATGTCAATGAAAATTGCATTTACAAGGCTTCCGTAAGGGTTCTATGAGGGTCCTGTTGCACTTCAACTTGGGGTTTGGGCGGTTAGGAGCTTGGTGTTTAGGGGTGGAACTTGGCACTCAGGGTTGAGGAGACTGTAGCGGGCTAGGCCTTCTTCTGAATATTCTTGTTGTTATTGTTTATTTCTACTACTATTATTATTGTTATAAATATTATTGGTATTGTTATTAGTAGTAGTAGTAGTAGTAGTAGTAGTAGTAGTAGTAGTAGTAGTAGTAGTTGTTTTTTTGTCACCCACACTAGTAGTAGTAGTAGTAGTAGTAGTAGTAGTAGTAGCAGCAGTAGAAGTTTTTTTGTCACCCACACTAGTAGTAGTAGGAGGAGTAGTAGTAGTAGTAGTAGTAGTAGTAGTAGTAGTACTAAGCGGCATCAGTATCAGCGAAGCTCGAGTTCTGGTTTGACCTTGTGGACTCTCGCAACTTCGAGGCTGAGGCTGTTCAAGTTCGCACAAGGTTTGGGGCTTTAGGGTTTAGGCCTCATAGGGTTCATAGGGTTCATAGGGTTCATAGGGTTCATATTTTCATAGGGTTCATAGGGCTCATAGGGTTCATAGGGTTCATAGGGTTCATAGGGTTCATAGGGTGTAGGGTCTCGAATGCCGGGCGAGCTAAGCATTAGGGGACTGAGAGGAACTTCCGGAACGGAGGGGATGGCAACGATCACGGAACTACTCAGGTCGATAGAAAGGTTGCACAGAAAACGGCAGGCAGCCCGTGACAAGGATGTCCAACCTAAGCCCTAAGCCGCAAGCCCTACCCTGAGCCCCAAACCCTCCGCCTTAATGGAAGTACATGATGGTTTGATGGAGGGCCTCAGGCCTCGTGTCGTGGTGAGCTTAGAGGCCCTGTCCTTTGAGTGTATTGTGGTGGTCTGGGATTTGGGGCATGTAAGTTACTTGCCTCTCTAAAAAGGTACGCATGCATGCATTCACGTACATGTAGAAATACATATGTCTGCACGAATGCAACTGACAGCTGTGCGCCGGGTGGATACATGACTGTAGAAAACTTGTGCAGGAAGCCATTTCCAGTGCGCCTCCTCTGGCGCCACGTCCGCAGCGGCGGCTGTCTCCTCAAGGCCCTCAGCTGGTTCGCGGTTCTTGCTTCGGCACTGCTTCGGCTTTTTGGGGGGTTCAGGGTGCACTTGAAGATTCAGCGTCTTAGGCTAGGAGCTTAGACGGTGAGGATTCAGGGGTTTGACTTGATGGGTGTAGGGTTCAGGGCTCGGGCTTTGGTTTGCTGCGAAACGGCTGTCCTAAACCCGGATCTCCAGCTTTAGGCGCATGAGAAAGTGTTTCGACACGCCCATCTCTCGTTCAGAGATGTCCCATAAGGTCCGCATATTGCAAGCTGGAGAACGAACACGCTCGTATTGAAGCTGAACGACCCCAACGAGCAACTCTGTTGGAGGTTTGGCCCTCATGCTTAACTATATGATACTACACGGCCTGATATGGTATTGCACTGTGCTCGTTTCAACATCGCGGGTGTGCTGAATGTTGCGACTAGCACTAGAGCCTTCAGGGCTGCGACTGGCAAAGTGTACGGCCGCAGCACATAAAACCCAAGGCTCCACTTCCCCAAGGCTCCAATATCCACTATTTGTACTTCGTGAGATCCAGGTTTGCCCGAGGGGGAGAGTTCTAAGTTCATGAAGTAGCCGGCGGCCTCACAAACCCCGATAAACACCTACAAGACTCTGAAAAATATCCCGAGCCGGAATCGATAACCAACGCCCAATCAAAATGATAAAGTCAAGAGTACTACTCCCAAACCAACACAAGAAGAAGCCCTAATTGCCCTACATTCTACTGTGTAGTCATCCAAGCAAGCACACCGTTTTGTCAGCATCCCAAAATCCCCAAGCCCTAAACCCTAAGGTCCCCAAAAGCCCGGAACTTTAAACTCTAACGTAGGGAGGGAGATGCCTCCTCGACTTTCTCCTCCGCCTGCTGCTCTGGGCCCTCCTCCGCTTCGGGCTCCCCTCTGGCGGCGGCTGCCTGGTTCGGGGGTCCGGGTCGGGTTCTTTGTCTAAGGGTGTCGGTCTTAAGGTTTAGGGCGGCTTAGGGGGTTTAGGGCTTTAGGGTTCACGGTTGAAGGTCTTGGGGTTTAGGGCTTTGGGTTTAAGTGTTTAGGGCTTCGTCGATGGGTAGACTTCTCGATTTTGCGGGCGGCTCCATCGAGTTTAGGGCTCCAAATTCCGCGCAGATGCTTAGATACCGCGTAACAGCTGGTCGCATGCTGTGTTTGGAGCACGGGCTCACTGCGAAAGACCGAAAGACTGCTACCAAGTGTTCTGGGCCTCTCCAGTGTGGCTTGGAAAGCCTCGGGCTGCTAAATGCTTCTTACGCAAGCTGGCCGAAAGTCACCGAGGCAATCTAGCCCGGAACACAAACATTCCCCCCAGAATGTCAAAGGTGCTTTGCTCAAGTACCTGGGTTTCCCATCCGTGCATCCATGACTTTCACGTGTGTACGGAAACAGACACGTGAACAGTCGCATGCGTGGAAGTGCACATGTGCTTGTAGAAGTACATGCCTATGAATAGCGCCCCGGGTTTATTCATGCCATTGAGTGTCAGAAGATGTGTTTAAATTCTGCTTAGCGACGCAAATCTTCGCTGCATGACATACAAAACCAAAAGAGAAAGAGAGACATGCGTGTATAATCCACGCCTCGGCGGCTTTTTCGGCCTGAGAAGGACTCGACTCAAAGTTTCGGGTTCTCGTTGTTGGAAAAGCCAAGTTTCGATTTCTACTGTCGGCAATGCCAGGCAAGGAATCACCACAAGTGGTCAGACAAGCTCTGCGGAAACCATAGCTCCAAGGACCGACTACAAAGCCAAACTCCTATGTTATTCGGATGGCGGCTAATCTACTTCGAGCCATGATCACCGTTCTTGGCTTTCACACCACTCTTACCATGTTTACCACCAGTGCCCTTATTACTGTTGTTGCAAGTAGCCCTGGAATACGATGACCCAGTATTCATGGTACTACGACTAAACCAAAAGGCATTCATCGGCAGACGAACCCTCAAGTCCCACATTGCTATTTTCAACTCTGGCGAAGAGCCAGACAAATCTGCTAACCCCATATATGTCGTGCAACACTCGGGCGACGTCATGGAGGAGCCTGGTGAGTTGCTGGTAGTTCCTGCCTCTCATCAACTCTTTAGGGTTTAGGATTTAGGGCCTAAGGTTTAGGGTTTAAGGGATCTAGATACACGATAGTGGGGTGGGCCGAAATCTCTGCTGTCAGTGCAAGTCGCAAAATAAGGCCCGTTCAAGTATGCCAGTTCCCAAACAGCTAAACCCAATACTACTAACCCTATACCCTGAACGCAGTACTACAAACCCTGTGCGTTCAACCCTAAACCCTATACCTTAAACCCTAGGCTAAGCTCAATACTATTAAACCTATACGTTAAACCCTCTTCACAGGCTTGGTTAGTGCTCGCCCCCCTAAACCCAATACTACTAACCCTAAAACTACCATAAACTACCCTAAACTACCCCTAAACTATGCTAAACTACCCTAAACTCCCCCCTAAACCACCCCAAAACTACCCCAAAACTACCCCTAAACCACCCTCAACCCGTTTTCACCGCTGGGCCCGCGAAGCCTCCAGAGCAGCCGCTGCAGCTGCCGCTTGCTCGGCTGGATGCCAGAGCCGCGGAGGCTTTGGGGCTTCGGGTGTTTGGGGGCTTAAGGGTTTAAGGGTTTAGGGTTTTAGGGTTTTAGGGTTTGGGGTTTAGGCTTCGGGGTTAGGGGTTTAGGGGTTTAAGGGTTTAGGGATTTAGGCTTTGGGGCTTCGGGTTCCTTTAAGGGTAGTAGGATTCCCTTTAAGGGTAATGGGCCTCGGGTTTTCGGGCTATCGGGTTTGAGGTTCAGTGGGTGAGACTTTAGGGTTAAGGGTTTAAGGGCTTCAGGGTTTAAGGGTTTAAGGGTTTAAGGGTTTAAGGGTTTAGGGTTAAGGGTTTAAGGATTTAAGGGTTTAGGGATTAGGGATTAGGGTTTTGGGGTTTAAGGGTTTGAAGGTTTAGGGTTTAGGGTTTAGGGTTTTATGGCTGGGTTTAGGGGTTTAGGGATTAGGGTTTAGGGTGCTTCGGGTTTTGGGTGTCGGGTTTAGGCTTTGTGGTTTAGGCTTTCGTCACGCACGCTCGCTCACGCAGGCACGGCTTCGAGGTCCTTTGGGTTTAGCGTTTAGGGTTTAGGACATACAACTTGAATTACTGTGTGTCGCCAGATCCTGGGCTTACTTGCAGCTTATTGTGTTCTTGTCAAAATCTGGGGTTGTAGCTGAAGTGCCAAGGGAAAGCTTCGCCTGACGATGATGAGCTAGAATGGGTAGGTTCTGTAGCGTGTGGGGTTCTAAAGTTTGGGGTGGAAATACACTCAGAATAAAGAAGATGTTGGCAAGAAAAGTACCAGACTTCGGGAATGACAGAGGCGAAGCGAAGCAGAAAGGATCACTGGGTTGTAGCTTCGGGGCCCCTAAAAGTATTTATGAACAGGTACCTCTATAAGAAAAATCCCAAAGTGCCACCTAGATCATGTTAATTACCTACTACTGTAGCTGTTGAGGAGACTTCGGTCTTGTTGGGGTGATTGAACAGCAGGGCTTCAAAGCGCACGCATCGCGAACAAAATCGTCGTTCTTGTTGGTAGAGCCGCCGGCTGGAAAGTTGATCCGAAAACCCGAACACAAGGCGGGTCCATCAAGAAGGTGCTTACCAAAGATATGGTTCCACTCGCGACTCTTCAGCTTCAGGACGGGGAATCTGTTGCGCATGTGGCTGTTTGGTACTTCGAGCGGTAACTCGGTGGGCGCTATAACACACCCAGCGAAGCTGAACCCTGCAACCACACAGCCAACCCCAGACCCAAGCCCGCACAACTTGGACTACCATAACGACCATGAACACGACGATGCGGAAGAACATGATGCCGACGACGACGCCTACTACTCGCCCCACAAATCCCCCCAACCCCCAGTCTGGAAAACAACCACGGCCTGCCTAAAATCCCAAGCCCTAAGCCCTATACCCCACGACCTTCCATGCGCGCCCTCTTGGCTTTGGATATCTGCTCCTCCTGCGCAAGGGCTGCTCGGCACACGGCACTTCTCGATCCGCGCACGCAAAGGGCTAGCTAGAGTCCAGGGTGTTCAAGCCTGACGGTATAGGATCGGATCAGAGCTCTTTTGGTTTCAAGCGCTCTCACGCTGATGAGGCCCATGGTTCGCAGTCGGCATCATGAAACATCCATGTGCGCTACACAAATGTGTCCGGAAGAAAAGGAAACAGGAACCCGCTGGAACGCACAAGCTAATCTCGACAAGCACAACGGGGGTGGAGCCGCGGCGCTACTTGCGGTGATAAGATGCTATATACCGCAGGCAAGAAGTTTCGGTGAGGTTACGACAGCCCCGTCTCTGTTATTAGGGACTGCAACGCGCGAAGCCCTAAACCCTTATTAATTCTACCCCACACTAAACCCCAGACCCAGACCCTAAACTCCCTAAACTCTGAACCCCTAAACTTCGCTAAACCCATAAACTGTGCTCCCTATACCCCCAACTCCCTGAATCCTAAACCCCTAAACGCAACCCCTAAACTTTGCTCCTACACCCCTAACCCCCAAAATCCTAAACCCCTAGAGCCCTAAACTTTACCTTAAACCCTAAAAACCCCAAACAACCCCCAGGCCTCGGACCCGAATGCTCAAACCATGCTCGGCCATCCCAGGCCCAAACCGAGGCTCCGGCCACGACAACTTTCGAGGGATCCTTTCGCGAACATTGGGGTACCTGGAGCAGATACTGGCGCCTACTAGGGTTTAGGTGTTTCGACTCGCACGCTAGGCACAGCTTCCGAGGTCTCCTTACGGGGGTTTGGGAGTTTAGGGGTTTATCTAGGGGTTGCAGGGTTTAGAATTTATGGGTTTAGGGTTTAGGAGCCATACTGGAGCCCAGGGTTGAAGGGCTTTTCGGGGTTTAGCGTCTGGGGGTTGAGGGTTTCCGAGTCGCACACTCGCTCGACGCAGGCATGGCTTCGTGGGGGGTTGAGGGTTTAGGGGTTTACGGTTTAGGCGGGTAGAACTAGAGCCTCGGGTTTAAGGCTTGTTCTTGTGTTGGCCCTTTTCTCGCCACTAGGGTTTCAGGTTCAGGGGGAGATACATAGAGCTGCGGTCTCCAAACCCTGCAAGCCTTAAGCTCAGACCCAAACACCGGACCCCAAACTCGAGCCTTCAACTCAGACCCTAAACTTCAGGATCAGGGTCCGGGTGTCGCACGGAAGCTCTAGCTGGACGTAGGTTTAAGGGTGAGGTGGCTGTGCAAGGTAGGTAATGTCATAGTTAGGGCCCTGCGAGGTCTTGGGTTTAGGCCTGGAGGTTGAGGATGTGTGGGTGTTCAGGGTTCGGGATTGGTGGATGTGCACGATTTTGTTCGACTCCGGCTGTGTTGTGAACTGACATTGCCACTAGCCACGAACTTTCTCTCGTCTCTGCCACGGACGAGGGTTAAGCTCCAGCAATCAGCTTCGGGCTTAGACTTAGGGCCTACTATCATTCCTAATGTTGCTGTGATAAGGGTGTTTATACCACCAGTATTAGTGTTCTTGTCTCACTGCTTTTTTGTTGTCGCCCCTTTGTCTGAATGTTGAAGGCTGCGGGTTTGGGGCTTGGGGCCCTCCTGGCATAGTAGGCGTCTTCCAACTAGTCTGCTCCGGCTGCCAACGCCCTCACACCCGTACATATATAGTATATCTAAACCCTAAACCCTAAACCCTAAACCCTCTGAGGCGAGCCAAAACCCTCGCAAGGAGCAGAGAACGGCACAAAAATCGGCCACAGTCCTACGTCACGCGCGACGGAGACTTGGAGGAGAAGACCCCAACTACTCAAACCGATTCCTTGCACCTCCCAGGCCTTAGCCGGGCTTTGGGTTTCGGGTTTAAAGGAGCTTTGGGGTGCTCAGCATTCGGGTGACGCGCTCTCTTGGGCTTCTTAAACCCGAAACCCTATCCGGCGGTTTAATATACCCTAATCCATCTGGAGCCGAATGTCCAGGGTCTTGGTTTCTCCCTAAGCCCTCGAGGGGCCATGGAGGTAAGATCACTCTTTTTGGATTAAGGTTCAAGGATCGGGCAACCCAGGCGAGGCATATGGTTCGAGGTCTGCGAAGCGAGACCGTAACTACATGGGAAATCAGCCAGTGCAACAGCTAGCCCAATAACGAAGGTTTACGGGTGTAGGATTAGGGTTTAGGATTTAAGTGATGTGTGTGCCAATCTATGACGCTGATAGATTTTGACGTGAGTGCTTCTTATCGCTGCAGCCATGACGCCGAACTCCTGCCACGCAAGTCTCTTACAGGAAACGTCTTATATACTTTGGAACCCTAAACCCTAAACCCCTAAACCCTAAGCCCTAAACCCCTCTGACCAGTCTCTGCCCACGTATTGCAGGTGCGCGCCTTTCTTTCAACATAGAGATCCCGGACTCGGGAAAGAAAGCTGGGCTTTGGGCTTTTTTCCCTCGGCTATGCCCACTCGCGAGGTTTGGGGTTTAAGGTTCCAATCCGGGCGAGGGTTCAGGGTGCAGGGCACCTTGTTCAGGGCTCAACTTACCAGTAGTACGAGCCCAAGGATACCGCACAAGCTGCCAAACCGTCGAAAAACCGTGTAAGACTCCATATCTTGACACCCTTCTAGAACCCTTATAGAAACCCTTTTGCGAACCCTTACAGTAGCCCTCATCGTAACCCGTCTAGTATAAGCCTGCATAAGGAGGAACCCTCAACGCCCTCAATCAGTCCAGGCTCTCTAAAAGACCCCGGGCCGTCGCATGTGGACGACCCGGGCCCTGCAGGGGCACGCACGGCCTGTGCTGAGGGCTCACGAGAAACGAGCCTCATCTATGGGGATAAGGGCCTTGGCACAGGGTTCCCTGTAAGGTTTCCTTTAAGTGGTTCCTTTAAGGGGGTCTATGAGTGATACAAAAAGAGTTCTGTCGTATAAGGGCCTCAATCGTCAAACTAGGGCTCGGGTTTGTATTATACTATATCTAAACAATAAGGAGCCCCATTATCCCGACAGCTACAGTGGGACTCTTGTCGGATCCGGAATACATCCCTCTCACAAAGCGGGGCGGGGTCCTGAGGCTTTAGGGTTTAGGGCCCATGGAGTTGTTAAACTAGTGTTTAATCATGGAGCAGGCCAAATCACAACATCCCTAAACCGTTAACCCTCCACCCTAGAGCCTAAACCCTAAACCCTAAACGCAAAACCCCCAATCCAAAACCCTAAACCCTAAACGCAGAACCCCCAATCCAAAACCCCTAACCCTAAACAAAACCCCCAATCCAAAACCCCTAACCCTAAACAAAACCCCCAATCCAAAACCCTAAACCCTAAACAAAACCCCCAATCCAAAACCCTAAACCCTAAACAAAACCCCCAATCCAAAACCCTAAACCCTAAACAAAACCCCCAATCCAAAACCCTAAACCCTAAACGAAGAACCCCCAATCCAAAACCCTAAACCCTAAACCGTCAACTTGAGCTTTCTGGGGTTTGGGTTCCTACGGAGCTTCGGGGATCGGAGTTTCTGGTGAGCCGCCGTGAGAGGCCAGGGTCTGTACAGCGCGACTGGTCCTTGAAGGATAGGTAAGGTGGTCATTCAAGAACTCAAAGCGAAATAGCTAAACTAAACTACCCTGAACTAACGAATCGAAACCCGAGCAAACCGGTAAAATGATGTAACTTAAAGCATCTAGAGCTGATAGGGTTCAGGGTCTGCTTTCTCTGCATCTCCCCAAGGTCCAATCGCACAAAACATTCCGAGACCGCGCCAAAGCATTGCGCTCGAAGAGGCTGCCGACGGCCCTATCAGCAACTCTAGTTCGGGGAATCCGGAGCACGCCCCTCAAGTGTGCACTAAGCCCCGAACCTACATCCCTCGGCCCAAATCAAGCAGAAAAGCAATCAATGGTCTCCCGTCAGAAGTCCGTTAAGGCTTAGACTGCTCAGAGACCCATGCAAGGCATAAAAACAAGTGGCACTTGGACGGGGTGTGCTTGAGCCTCTGATCAGGACAAGGCTCAACTGCTCAACCGCCCGGTTACAGCCGAAATCTGTTTAATTTAACCGCTCCGCCCGGTTAAAGCCGGGATCTGCTAAATTTAACCACCCCGGCCGGTTTTAAGCCGAAGTCTTTTAATTTAAAAGCCTGGCGGCCTTGCTGTAAGGGTTTCAGAGCCGCCTGGAATTGGGGGGCTCAGGCCCTAAACCCGAAATCAATAGGCCTCGACCCAAAACGTCCTAACCCTCTTAACACCCGAAAGCGATTTAGGCTGTGGGATCTTAGGGTGATGTCGGCCAAACCTCCGCGCTCGCAGGGCCACGGCGCAGTCACATCTCGACTTCTCCAACTTTAAACACCTGCCGGTAAGCCCGAAACCAAAACAACACTGCAAAGGCTAGCTGTACAAGCAAAGTTCGAGATCCAATACATGAAGCCATCGCATCTCAAAGCTTAAGCTCACGGAACCCAAATCACTACACCCAAGACACTTTTGAATTCCGTGTGGAGAAGCCGCAAGCTGTATGTACACAAGCACGGCTGGGGCTCTCGGCACCTCATGGATATAACAACATTAGACAGGATAACAAAAATGCTAATAACAAATTGTAGCAATAACAATATTGATATAGTCATAAGAATAAGAAAAATCCAGTCATACGAATAGTGGCAATAATATAGGAATAACCTCTCGGCTTCTGCTTTGGAGTTTGGGGCTTTGCAGAGGAGTGTTACGGCTCACAAAGGCTTCTCGTTCATTCTTTTCTCCATCGTCTAAGCGGAGTAGGTGTAAGGCTGGCTTCGGGTTACTGTGCTTCGGGAGCAAAATAGGCTACGGGATTTCGCGATCCCACAACACAATACATCATACTTCGCCCAGCCAAACTTTGATAGATGCTGAGTGGGTGACTATACTAAACTGCTAGCAGCATTCACAGATCTGTTGAAGATGAAGGCAGACAGCCTGCCTACCATGGGAAACAAATTGTGATAAGTGACACTGGTGTTGGTAGTGGTGGTGGCGGTGGTGGCGGTGGTGGCGGTGGTGGCGGTGGTGGCGGTGGTGGCGGTGGTGGCGGTGGTGGCGGTGGTGGCCGACGGGGGCGGTGACAGTTGTGGTGGTGCCTGCAGTGGTGGTGCTACGAATAAGCATTCGATCCAAACTCGGAACATATCACGATCGAAGCCACTGATGCCAACATTCAATATCAAGTGAGCAAAGCGGCAGCATCGCCAAGCCCTTGATCCCCACCGCTACACTGGCAATGCTAGACTCAGGACCGCAACAAGCAGCGAGGCTGGTGAGCCCCAGCTTTCCGGCGACACGCCATCACTGTCCAAAAGCTCAGCTGCCCACCGCTAGGTACAAAGATGTAGGCGCTGCATGGAGATAATTGCAAGTAAGCTGCAAGTATATTCAAGACACAGTTCGCGAGGGTAGCTTCAAGATTTTCTGCTGTGGCCAGCTTGAAATCAAAGGACGTGTTGCAGTTGCAAATCAGCACCCGAATTTGAAGCTCTTAAGTCAGCACTGCTGAGCGCGATGGGCAGAGAAGCATCGACGATTCACCAGCGAAAGGCATGATTCCGGTACAGGTTGGTGCCCGATGAGCTTGGCCGGTCTGCTGGGGATTCTTGCAGGGATGGACCACCTACTGCCCGCAGGTACCGAGATTGAGGCTCAAGTTGCTTACCCTTCAATTTCCTGTGTCTGCACACTGCACA